GTGTGTGTGTGTGTGTGTGTGTGTGTGTGATCCGCTTCGATCTTCAGCCGCTTAAGTTTCGGCGTTTTCTATGTTATCGCCCTTACGTTAGATCTAGACTGATTTTCATCATCACATTATTTGGTGGGAGTGAGTAACGTGAAGTTTTCAACTCATACAGTATCATAAATTATAATTTTGTGAGAATGTGTAACTGTAACTGTGTTTGCATTGCTTTGTGTGTGTGTGTGTGTGTGTGTGTGTGAGTGTGTGTATGTGGTGGGTGGGTGGGTGGGAGAGTTCTCACCCCGTGCCTAGCCTTCGGGGGAGGGAGAGGCCACCCTACCACAGGATGCTGAGTAGCGATTCTGCTCTCCCCAATATGGTGGTGTCTGGGGTCTGTCACACTTCCATCCCGCCCCCTCCAAAAAACAAACAAAACAGCAACAACAAAAAACAAAACAACAACCCCCCCAAAAAAAAACAACAACACCCAAACCCAAACAAACCAAAAAACAAATAGAAGACGACCGAGAGCTGGCTAATGAAGTACCACCATTCCCGGGTCGAGACGGTCTGCCCTCACCGTCCAGCAGAGCGTCAATACGTCGCCCTCGGCGTAGCCTTTCTCCTCCAGTATTTCGAGAGCGACATCATCCACGGGGTGACGATTAGAGGACAGCCGGATGGTCACGCCTATCTCAGTCTCCGCCGCCTCCACCTTAGTCTCCGCCCCCTTCACTTTAGTCTCCGCCCTCTGCCCCTTAGTCTCCGCCCCCTTCACTGCAGTCTCCGCCTTCTTCATGACAATCTCCACGCAATTGACCTCACGGTCGCAGGCCTTGTCCTCAAACTCCCACAGGCTTGTGAACTGACCGGAGCCCTTGTGGAACACGCTTCTGGAAGAAGTAGGAAGCAAAGAAAAGAAACATCACTTCAGCAATGTTATACGTGTATATCTGTCTGAGCATTTCTCAAAAGGACAGCTTGATTACAATACATTGCAACAAAGGACATTTTCCACAAAGTCGTATTTCTGATTTTCCGATTTCAAGGCAATTTAATGAATGCCTTTTTTATGGTACCCTTCAAATTGTAAAGACAACCAAATTCAAAGTGGCGTCGATGGTCTAGTGGTTAGGCTGGCGGACTTGTAATGTAATCATGACATTGCGGGTTCAGGGGTTCGAGCCTCAGCTCGGTCCGACGTTGTGTCCTTGGGCAAGACACTTTACACGAATTTCCCACTTGACTCGGTCCTTTCGGAGACAGACGTTAAAATCGGAGGTCCCGCCTCTTAAATTATAACCGTTTAAGGTTGATGGGGTCATTAAATATATAGCCTACCATTTCACCAGATTCAACGTTTGTTCTCTTTAGATTGACACATAAAAGACACTTCTGAGAATCCTTTACTCAAAACACTCTTAATGGAAGATTATATACATATATATATATACACACACAAACAGACAGACACACACACACACACACATACACACACACACACACACAAAGTAATGCACACACAGTTACAGTTACACATTCACACAAAATTATAATTTATGATACCGTATGAGTTGAAAACTTAATGTTACTCACTCCCACCTAATAATGTGATGATGAAAATCAGTCTAGATCTAACGTAAGGGCGATGACATAGAGAACGCCGAAATTTAGGCGGCTGAAGATCGACGCGGACAGGCGCCAGTATGTGTCTGCTTGACTCCACATAGAGGGCGCCTAAAGCTTAGATCTAGATATAAGAAAAAAACACAGCTGGTATTTATGAAACATTTATTTGGGGATTTTAAAAAACCCTCGAAATTTCTAAAATATTGCTTAAAATGTAATTCTGTTCTGCAGCCACCCCAATTTGACGACGCTGATTTTAAAAAATGTAATTAGTTTTTGTCTACCGTGAAGCACCAGCTCTGAAATGACCATTTAAAAATTAATGTCCCCTTTCCAGTCGGGTGACATCGCGCAAACCGTTTAACCCGAGTTGGCGATGGCGAGATAGCATTGAGTGTTCGCGACCTCAGTGCTTTCTTGTCGCATCTCCGTTTTTAATAACAGGGAAAGCAGTTCACAACAAAGAGTGAGCTTAAGAAGAAGTCACATTTTCGCTGTTAAAAATGGAGATACGAAAAGAAAGCACAGAGGTCGCGAGTTGACAGCGAGACGCCCTTCCCAGTTTTCTAGCGTAATAAGAATGTAGTTTGGATTCCGATAAAGCCGACAACGTCGATCCGAGCTAAAAGCCGCCTGCAGTCTGCCACTACTGCCAGCTCTATGTGGGGCAAGTCGGAAATCATAAGGGAATTTTTATACCTATCGGCATTTACTGAGTCAGTCTCCGAAATTGGCGTTCTCTATGTTTTCGCCCTAACCTGTCCCCGTCGTTTTACGCAAGAAAAATTCTGAAATTATGCAAACTGAGCCCAAAAATGTAAAATTATGCGATTCTGTTAATTTTTTAATTCTTTTTTTAAAACAAAGAATGATAAAGGAAAATAATCAGAAATTATTTTTAAAATGATCAATTTTTTGTGCATAAAACCCCGGAGACAGCCTAACCCATAAACTCACCCTGATCCACTGAACATGAGAGGCCACTCGAACCGGTCGTCCAGTTCTCCTGGGGCCACGAGCAAACTGACCCCCAGCCGGCCCTGTCTCTTGAACCAGACGCGCATGCGGACTTTGCACGGCTTCCCGTGTGAGTAGAAATAGTCGCTGAGGTACTCACGACGAGCAGAGGCAAACTCTGTTACATTCTCAATAGAAATCTCTGCGCCGTTCTTGGGAAGTATGTTTATCGAAGCTCCTGGTACAGGAAATAATGATACTGATAATAATAATAACAATAACAACAACAAGAATAATAAAAATAATAATAATAA